TTTTTGGGAAAAGCATGTCGGGAATTAGTGCTAATTCTTCATACATTTGATAGAATTCACCAGTGAAATCATTTGGACCTGAATTTTTCTTTGTGGGAATTTTTTTTTTATTACTAATTCAGCATCTTTCCTTGCTACTGGTCTATTCAGATTTTCTATCTTCTTGAGTCAGTTTTGGTAGTTTGCATTTTTCTAGGAATTTATTCATTTCATCTAGGTTATCTAATTTGTTGGCACAGAATTGTTCATAGAATTCTCTTACTAGCTCTTTTTTTTCTGTAAGGTTGGTAGTGTTTTCTCTTTCATTCTTGATTTTGTTTATTTGAGTCTTCTGTTTTGTTCTTGGTCAATCCAGCTGAAGATTCGTCTATTTTTTTATATTTTCAGAGAACTGATTTTTTACTTTGTTAATTTTTTCTAGTCTCTATTTCATTTATTTTCACTTTATATTAGTTCCTTCATTCTGGTCACTTTTGATTTAGTTTGCTCTCCTTTATATATATATATATATTTTAAACTGTATTTTGGTGAAAGTTTACACAGCAAATTAGGTTCCCATTAAACAATTTACATACATATTGTTCAGTGATATTGGTTACATTCTTCACGATACGTTAGCATTCTCGTTCTTTCCATTTTGCTTGTTCTGTTTCCTAGCTTCCCTGCCCCATCTCCCTTACCTTCTTGGCTTTATGGTAAGCACTGACTATTTAGTCTCATATACCCCCAACAAGATGGACAGGCACAGTGGCAAGAGCGATGGGCTCAGGCGTAGCAATGATTGTGAGGTTGGCCCAGGACTGGGCAGTGTTTCATTCTATTGTGCATAGAGTCACTATGAGTCAATACTGACTTGATGGCACCTTACAACAACAATAACCCCCAAACAAAACAAACCCACTACCATGGAGTTGATTCGACTCATAGCAACCCTGGATATGGCTGCAAAAATCTTTACAGGAGCTGAAAGTCTCATCTTCCTCCCGCATGATGAGTGGTGGGTTTGAAATTCAATCTAGTGCTTACCCTACAGTGTCACCAGGGCTCCTTTTGGTCTTATATGTTGTTGTTAAGTGCCATTGAGTCAGTTCCCACTCATAGTGACCCTGTATGGGGTTTCTGAGGAGTGGCTGGTGGGTTTGAACTACTGACCTTCAGGTTAGCGGTCTAGTGTTTATCCTACAGCACCACACCAGGACTCCTGGTCTTACATAGATGATTATTTAAAGGAGCACAGTGCTCATGGGTACATTATTTATTTTATGAGTCAATTTATTATTTTGCTGAAAGGTGACATCAGCAGTGGGTTCAGTTCCAAGTATCTTGGTGCAATTCTTTTTGTAGTTTCTTACATAAGAAGATGAAAGAAACACTCATAGTAGGAGCAGTCAAGAAATCAACCTACAGATTGCATTAGGCAAACCTGTTGCAAAAGACCTCTTTAAAGCATTCAAGAGCAAAGATGTCAGTTTGAGGACCAAGGTGTGCTTGACCCAAATCATGGTATTTCAATTGCCTCATAAGCATGTGAACACTGGATAATGAATACGGAAGACTGGAGAAGAATTGATGCATTTAAATTATGGTGTTGGTGAAGAATATTGAAATATGGATTGCCAGAAGAACAAAAAAACCTGTGTTGGAAGAAGTAGAGCCAGAATATTTCTTAGAAGCAAAGATGATGAGATTTTGTCTCTCGTATTTTGGATACATTGTCCGGAGGGATCAGTTCCTGAAGAAAAAATCATGCTTGGTAAAGAGTGGAGAGTCAATGAAAAATAGAAAGATCCCAACAAAATGGACTGACACAGTGCCAACAACAAATGGACTCAAACAACAAATGTGAGAATGGTGCAGAACTGGGCAGTGTTTCATTCTGTTGTGTATAAGGTTGCTATGAGTCAGAGGCGACTCAGTGGTACCTAATAACAACAAGGTGGAAGATGGGTAATCCCTGGTGGTATAGTGGGTTTAGCATTGCACTGCTAACTGCAAAGTTAGAAGTTCAAATCCACCAGCTACTCTGCAGAAGAAAGATGAAGCTTTTTGCTCCCATAAAGATTTACAGCCTCGGAAACCCTGTACAGGGTCGCTATGAGCTGGAACCGACTCCACGGCACATAACAACAACAACATAGGATCACTATGAGTTGGAAACAACTTGATAACAGAAAATGGATTTTGAGGTAGAAGATTTGGTTACTGATTTAAGATCTTTCTTTGTATTTTATCTAATATAGGTATTTACAGCTATAAATTTCCCTCTAAGCACTGATGTGGTGGTATAGGATAAGTACTGGACCACAAGGTAGTTTGAACTGCAATGTCAGCAGTTTAAGCTCGTCAGTCACTCCTTGGAAACCCTGTACAGGGTTGCTATGAGTCGAAACTGACTCAGCGGCACTAAACAACAACAAACACTGAGCTTACAGCCCATAAATTCTGGTATGTGTTTTCATTTTCATTCATCTCAAAGTATCTTATAATTAATTTCCTTTATGATTTCTTCTTTGATCCATTCTTTATTTTAAGAGTGTATTTATTTAGTGTCTGTAGTCATTTGAACAGAACAAGGGGATATTACATGATTTCAAATCAGGTAAGGTGTGTTAGAGTTGTGTGAGAGGGTTTCAAAAAGGTTGTGGAATTAAAAGGCAGTAGAATGGTGTCATGAACTTTTTGAAGCTCTCTTATATCCTTTTACCATACTTATTCAATCTGTATGCTGAGAAAATAATCCAAGATGCTGGACTATATGAAGAAGAATGTGGCTGATTAACAAACTGTGATACACAGATGACAAGTTTATCTGCTGAAAGAGAAGAGGACTTGAAACACTTACTGATGAAGATCAAAGATGACAGCCTTCAGTATGGATTATACCTCAACATACAGAAAATAAAATTCCTCACAACTGGACCAATGAGCAACATCATAATATGTGGGGAAAGCACAGTGGATCCTTGAACAACATGGGTTTGAACTGCACAGGTCCACTTATATGTAGATTAAAAAGAAAAATACAGTGTAACACTAATCATCTCAGTAGGAGCAGCTTGTCTCTCTTGTAAATTGTATATTGCAGTACTAAATGATCTCTCATGGTTCTCGTGTATTTTTCAGTATGTTTTGTGCAATACTGTAAACCTTGAATAACACCATGCAATCCATACAAAGTGCCACTAGTGATGCTGGAAGTGCTCCCCAGAAGCAGAGAAAAGTCATGACATTACAAGAAAAAGTTGAACTGCTTGATATGTACTGTAGATGGAGGTCTACAGTTGTGACTGCCTACCATTTCAAGATAAATGAATCCAACCTAAGGACTATTGTGAAAAAAGAAAAGGAAATCTATGGAGCGATAGCAACAGCTATACCAGTAGGCACAAAAACCTTGCACTGTTTGTGAAATGCCTTTTTATCTCATATTGAAAACATAGCTTCTAGTGAGTGTAGCATATAATATATATAATGTACAAAATATGTGTTAATTGACTATGTTATGAGTCAGGTTTCTAGTCAATAGTAGCTACTAAGTCACTGGGGAGTCAAAGATTATATGCAAAATTTCATCTACATGAGGGGCACAACACTCCATGTTATTCAAGGATTAACTGCATTGAAGTTGCCAATCAGCAATCATGGAAGCACTGTCAAGAAATCAAACAACATATTACATCAGGCAAACCTGCTGCAAGAGACCTTTTTAAAGTATTACAAAGAAAGATTTCATTTTGAGGATTAAGGTAGGCCTGACCCAAACTTGGTGTTTTCAATAGCCTCATATACATGCAAAAGCTGTATAGGGAAGGATGACAAAGAAACGATACATTTGAATTATGGTGTTGGTGAAGAACATTGAATATACCATGGACTGCCAAAGGAACACACAAACCTGTCTGAAGAAATACAACCATAAAGTTCCTTAGAAGAAAGAATGGCGAGACTTCATCTTACATACTTTAGACATGGTATCAGAAGGGACAAGTCTCTGGAAAAGGATAGCATAGTTGGTGGAGTACAGGGTCAACAGAAAAGAGTAAGACCCTCAATGAGATGGAAAGGCACAGTAACTACAACAATGATTGCAATGATTGTGAGGATGGCACAGAACCAAGTAGTGTTTTATTCTGTTGTACATTAAGATTGCTATGAGTCCAAACCAATTTGGCAGCACTTAACAACAACAAATCAGACACTATCTGATTCTAATAATTTTGAATTAATTGAGGCTACTTTTATGGTCTCTCCTGAAGAATATACACCTAAAAAATGCCTCCAAGTACATTTAAAAAGAATGTATATTCTGCTATTGTTGGGTGGAGCGTTCTATAGAAGTCAGTTAGATCTAGTTGGTTTCTCTTGCCTCTCTTAAAGTAGATGTAGGGAAGTCCATTCAAATTGTACCCTGATACTCCATTTCTGTCTCATGGGGTCGCTATGAGTTGTAACTGACTTGATGGCACCTAACAACAACAACAACAACAACAACAACAACTCCATTTCTCTCTAGTCTTCCCTCTGAGGTCAAGAAGCTATTATAGAAGCTTTGGTAATAATAATACCACTAGTCAATATTTATGTAGGCATATCCTCATTTTATTGTGTTTTGCTTTACTGTACTTCCCAGATATTGTTTATTTTTTTAACAAAGTGAAGGTTTGTGACAACTTGTGCCAAGCAAGTTTATTGTTGCCATTTTCCCAACAGCATGTGCTCACTTTGTGTCTCTGAGTCGCATTTTGATAATTCTCACAAAATTTCACATTTTTTTAATGCTATTGCAGACTTAATAGACTATAATATAGTGTAACCATAACCTTTATATGCATGGGAAACCAAAACATTTGTGACTCACTTTACTGTGATAATTAGCTTTGTTGCGGTGGAACCAAACCCACAATATCTCTGAGGTATGCCGGTATAGCCCATCTTCTGTGCCAAGGACTGTTCTCAGCATTTTATATAAAATCACTCATTTAATTCTACCCCAGGCTTACCTTTGCACCCCAAGCAGCTGCTCCTCAGTGTAAGTGGTACTCCCTTCACCCGGCCGGGTCTGCTTCCACTCATTCTCAGACTTTTCTTTTTGTGCCTTCATGCAGTTACAGCAACCACAGGGGTCATGACTCTCAGGAGGTCTGTCTTCTGAGTATTTGTTTCTCCTAATTGCGTCAATATAGGCTGCAAAGCAAGAGCCTCTCCATTAGGCTGCAGTTTGACTCAGCAAATCAGCTTTGTTACTGCCTTAGCTCTCTGGGAGACTGCTTGTGGGCATATGCAGGTGAGTGTGAGACCAGGTTACAGATGTCAAACTGACTTTTAGGCATCCATACAATGCTGAATAATCATTTTGCTGAGACAATAAAAGAGTACAGGAAAGGGACATGGAAAGAGGGAGCAGCTGAGAACTCCAGATTTATGGAAAGAGAAGGACTGAGAGCTGGTGGCTAGGAGGCAGGCTGGTAGAATGTGCCCTTGGTGGTTTAAATTATTATATATGCCTGAGTGTTTTTTGTTGTTTTTTTTTAAAAAAGAGCTAAAATGAAATGAATAGAGAGAAATACTGTTAACTGATAGTACATGGAGGGGATTATAATCATTGTAATGAAACAAAGTATATGATTTGTTGAATGTAAAACTGATCATCTGCCCTGTAAACTTCCACTCAAATCACAATAAAAAAAAAAAAAAAAAAAAAAAAAAGTACAAGAAAAAATATAAGACAAGCAAGAACAGCTTGTAAAAAAAAAAATAAAAAAAAAAAAAAAAAAAGTACAAGAAAAAATATAAGACAAGCAAGAACAGCTTGTAAATGTCAGAAGCATTTAACCTAATGTCCACCAAACTACTGTGATCAGTCAGCAAATAACCTTGACTCAGAGCTGGAAAAGGAGCTCTGCCCAAAAGCTTACTTTAGAGGGAAATCTATTTCTCTGTGGTCCATGGCAAATGGTGACATTTCTTATAAAATAACCTTTTTTGTTGTAATGACACCACTACTAAGATTTTTTTCTCTTTTCTTTTTCATGCACAGTCACTGCTGAGATTTGAGGGGGAGATGAATTTAACTATTTTTAACTAGTAGTTATAGAGCTAATATATATAAGATAGTTGACTAGCTACATTGGAGTATGCATGAGTAAACTCTACTTCTTATCACAAAGAGGTTATAGATTAATTGATCAAAACACATGCAGAATGTAAAGAGGGACATAGGCAATGTAGTCAAAGAGTACAGACAACTCATGTCTTATCTGGGAAAGATCTTAAAAGCCTTTAATCAAATGTGACCACATCCTTCTTCCCTATGTTACTATCCTCTGCTCCTTGTCCAAATTTCTTATTGTAGCTCCAGCCTGCTTCTCCAGGCTCGTCTCTCATCACATGTTCCTTTGCAATCTGCTGTAGCCACACCAAGCTCCTTTCAGATCAGCAATGCTTTCTTTTCGATCTACCTTTGTACATGCTGTTTCCTCTGCTTGGAACACTCACTGGGTCTGCCTGGCTGACTCCAATGCATCCTTCATGTCATATGTGACACTCCATGAGGCTTCTCCTGACACTTAGGTGCCTTGTCAGTGTGCTCCCAGAATCCTTGACCTGGCTGTGTAGTCCAGAATTTATTGGCTGACTTTAGTTGTCTATTTAACTGTTAAACTTCCTCAGTGGTCCATGTCTATCAAATTCCCGCGGCACCTTCAGGATCACCATACTGCAGAGAACATAATACGTGTTGGATAAATACTTTTTACCTGACTGCAGTAAAAAGGCACGAACCAATGGCCTGCTCAGGATGGACAAGACTGGCCTAACGGTCCTGATGCGGGCTGGGGACAAAATCACCCTGGAACTGAGGGTCAAGCGGTCTAGTCTGGCGACAGGGAGATGGGCCTGGTAAGGTGCATATGACAACATCACCCTTTTTAGCAGGCTGTCAACCCGGTGCGGGCGGGCAAGACTGCCTCAGACCCTGAACAGGGCACGAGCCAGAGCGGGCCTGGGAGCAAGAGGCAACAAGTTGTCATTGATGACTCGGGTCTCCCAGCTTACCCCTAACTCTGGCCATAGCTCCTGACTTCTAGATCTTGGACCCAGTCCTGTAGGGGGGCCACCATTCCATTCAAAACCCCACGCAGGCTCAGCATATTTTCACGGACCTCCATCCTTCACGTCAGGCCCGGCATCTCAGCCCTTACGGTCAGGAGCCCCATCCCTGATCTTTCCCTGACCCTCTTTGTCCCACCATTGGGCCAAAACTTGGTACCTTCTGTCCAGCGCTCCCCGCTGCTCAGAGTCGCAGCCATATCAGTTCCCTGCCAGCAGGTCTGCAGGCCTTCCCAGCTCCGGAGGCTAAAAGGAAGGGGGGCGCCGAGCTCAGGGGCATCCTGGGCATTGTAGTCCAACTCATGTGATTACGGGGGGAGGGTCGGGGTTGTTGTTAAGTGCCATCTAGTCGGTTCCGACCCATAGCGACCCTGTAGAGGGTTTCCAATGAGCAGCTGGTGAGCTTGAACCACCAACCTTGAAGTTCAAACCGAATTTGCAGTCTAGTGTTTTAACCCACTGGACTACAATTCCCGGCAGGCTCTGCGCGAGGGGCCGTCGGAGCTGAAGAGTTGTAAAGGGGCTTGAACCTTGCTGGTGGGTGGGGAATGCCTGTGAAGATGTTTGCAGCTTGCTGACTCCTGTGAGCTACTGATTCACAATAGGAAACTGTGGTAACTCCGGGCCGTGTTTTTTGTCAGTGGGAATGTTGCCTTTGCCCCCACCTATCCTTGAAGTCCTACCTGAGAAGGACGTCATAAACTAAAGCTTAGACGATGACAGCGTGACAGTTGTTCTCAGGAAAGGCCTTTTAAAACGTATGCCTGTTCTGTGCAAAATGTATGCTAGACTCTGGAAATTGAGAGAGACACTCAGCAATAAGCCACATCCAACCCTGGTTGTGTGCCATCGAGACAGTTCTGACTCATAGCGACCCTGTACAGGCTGTAAATCTTTGTTGTCATTAAGTGTCGTTGAGTCTGTTCCGACTCATAGTGACCCTGTATAGTGTTTCCGAGGAGCAGCTGGTGGGTTTGAACCGCTGACCTGTGGTTCACAGTCCAGTGATGATCCTACAGTGCCACACCAGGAGTGGTATACAGGAGCAGAAAGCCTTATCTTTCTCCCATGAAGCGACTGGTAGATTTGAACTACTGACCTTGCGGTTAACAGCCTAGCTCATACCAGCACATTATCTGGGAAGCTTAAAAGCCAAGAAAACAAGAAAGCGAGGTAGATTTATGAGGTTAGAGGACATTCTGGGAACTTCCCTCCATCCCCCAGCTCCTCAGCCACAGATTCCAGCCATTCGTAGAGTCCTTAGAGGGACTGTACCCGAGTCGGGGTAGAAAGAAGAAAAATACAGGTCTGAGAGTTTGCATTATGGACCCCTCTTTGATGTTCCTTAAACCTTCTCCTTCTTGCCCTACTTTGAGTTCCCTCAGACTTTCTTTTCCAGCCCCATCGTTTCCTTTGCCCCACTCCCTTCCTTTGTGAAGCACTATTGTCATCAAGTTCTGTGGAATTGGTTCTAACTCATAACAACCCTGTATAGGTTTCCAAGGAGTGGCAGGTAGGTGGGTTTGAACCACTGACCTTGAGATTTAAGCCGACTTTGCAGTCCAGTGCTTACCCTACAGCACTACAGGACTCCAGACTTTAGGAAATTAATGAAGAAGAATTTAAGAATTTAAGAAATATTCCTGCTGATCCTCACTCAGGTTTGCATGGACTCTAACAAAGAATAAAGGCAACGTTTCCTAGGCGTGAATGGGTACAGTGTTCTCACCGACTGACTCATGACTGTCAGAAGTTGAGTGGGTTAAGATAGTCAAAGATTGAGTATGCAAAAGGCAAAAATGATCATGTTCATCCCCAAGTAAAAGATTATTTGGACTTCACTGAGTGACTTACCTAAAAACACTAAATCAGTTAACATATCAACCAGCAGCTATTTAGGCAGCTGTGGAGTGATGTGAGGAGTTGCAGTCCTGGATATAAACTGGAAGGGTCAAAGTCCCCCATGACGTGCAGTTCTAGCTGTTTCCTGTAATCACTAAGCTCCTAAGGAACTTCAAGAGGATAGGAAAAAGCACTGCGGGTTAATGCCCTGGATTGCAAAGTTGGTTTGAACCACAAGGTTGGCAGCTCAAGTTTACCAGACACTCCTCGGTAACCCTATACGAGATTGTTATGGGTCAGAACTGACTTGACAGCACTTAACAACAACAGCAACAAGATAGAGGAGACCTGGTGTGAAGCTGTGGTTTAATGTACTGGACTGCCAGGTAAGTTTGAACCTCAAAGTAGTCAGTTCAAGCTCGCCAACTACTCACTGGAAACATTGTACAGGTTCACTATGAGTGAACTACTCACCAACTACTCACTGGAAACATTATACAAGGTCACTATGAATCAGAACTGACTTGATGGCACTTAACAACAACAAGATAGATAGATAAGAATTTTAGTTTGGATGTTGCCATAAATCATTGTGTGACCACAACCAATGAAATCCTTTTTTCTCCTTTGGATTCAGTTTCCCCACCTATGAAATGAAAGGATTGGTTTAGGCTGTGGTTGTTAAATGTTGGTTCTAACTCATAGTGACCTTGTATAGGGTTTCCAAGGAGCAGCTGGTTTTTTTGAACTGCCAACCCAGAAGTCTTGGATTAGGTTAGTTGAGGAATTCCTCAATTTGAGGAATCCTTTAGGTTCATTGTGCAGATGTCCAGGGACTTTATGCTGGGGGGTGGGGTAGGGAAGAGGAGGAGGAAGACATAGCAGGAAGACTCCAGCTCCTTACCATTCTTCAATAAAATACCGTTTTCATATTTTGTGCTTCTAATAAAGGAGTTTGTCTACTAAGGAAAACATTGGTTTATGCTTTTATGACTGACTAATTTCACTCAGCATAATGTCCTCCAGGTACAGCCATGTTGTGAAGTGTTTCACAGATTTATCATTATTCTTCAACATTTTGTGTGTATGTACCAAAGTTTGTTTAACCATTCTTCCATTGAAGGGCATTTAAGATGTCTCCATCTTTTTGCTATTGTGAATAGTGCCTGACCCAGGCCAGGATATTTTCAATAACCTCATATGCATGCAAAAGTTGGACAGTGAATAAGGAATATCAGAAGAATTCATGCATTTGAGTTATGGTGCTGGAGGAGAATATTAAAAGTACCAGGGACTGCCAAAAGAAAAAAAAAAAATTGTGTTGGAAGAAGTGTAGCCAAAATGCTCCTTGGTAGCTAGGATGGCCGGACTTCATCTCTCATACTTTGGACATATTATCAGGAGGGACCAGTCACTGGAGAAGGATACCATCTTTGGTAAAATGGAGGGTCAGAGAAAACGAGGAAGACCCCCAAGGAGATCGATTGGCACAGTGGTGGCAGTGACGGGCTCAGGTATAGCAACGATTGTGAGGTGGGCCTAATTTCATTCTGTTGTGCATAGGTTTGGTATGAGTTGGTGTTAACCCAATGGCACCTAACAACAACAATGAAAAGGCCCATGTTTGGAGATGCTCAGAGGTTTCAGATAGCCATGAAATCACAAGTATCTGGCAGAGAATTTGAGTGTTAAGGACTACAGAGGATAACTGGATTGAGAATGGATTCTATGAATGATGGGGCTACTTTGGAGCAGAATCCAGGTTCAAGGATATTTGGCAAGATTTGGGAAGTGAAGGCCTCTTGGAGAAAATTGGTACCTCAGCATTCTCTCCCCTCCTTATCCTCTGAAACTATCCATTCTTTTCTAGATTTGACTCATTTAATCTAGACCAACAAAAAATAGTCCAACATTGCCACTGTTTCATATGTTGTTATGCAAATGTGTCCTTTAACTCATTTACACTTAAATTGATGATTTTGGATAAATTTTCCTATTACTGTATCACTAAGAATCCAGAACCCCAAATCTCAACATTTAGAACATTTTTGTGCCAGGTTTTTCTTAAATTCCCAAACATTCACCTAAAATAATCCCCATTGTCAAATTCAATCTCTGTGTTCTATAGAACAGGAAGTTGTGGTATCATAGAGTACAGGAAGGAGGTGCCAGGGGTAGGTAGCCAGCAGGAAGAGTGAAAGAGTAACTAGGAATGAGATAAGGGAAGAGAATTGAGATCTTGGATATAGTTCACAAAAAGGAAGTATATAGAGAAATTGGAAGGAGGAGAGAAAAGAGAGCATACACTGACTCAGAGAAACTGGTAAGCCAGCAGATTCAAATAAAATTTAGTTGGATTATAGTGCCTGGTGTGGTATTATAGGATAAGCACTGGACTGCTAAATGAAAGGTTGGCAGATCAAACCCACCAGCCATTCCTTAGAAATCCTATACAGAGTCGTTATAAGTGGGAACTGCACTTAACTGCAATGGGTGCAAGAATTAGACCAACTTGATTCTTTGTCCACCAAATTATTTTACCTTGGGCCAGCCTCAGATTTCTCTGAATCATCTCTTCTTATTTTTAATACTGTTGAACTGCAGTGAGTTTTTTGTTGGCAATACTCAGGTTTGCCATGAACCTTATGTGACTGAGATGTTGGATTTATCCTATTCAGCCCTGGAATAAACATATTGTGTAAACAATTCCATCTGACTGAGCCTGTGGACCTAAACTGCTTGCTGACTGCCCTTCCACAGGATGAGGGAGGAAGTGAGATAATGACATTACAACAACCATTCCACCTGTTCCTGTTGTAGGGCCAGATAGTCCATTTTTGAAGTCCTGGTGTGGCACTGTGGCTTAATGACCTGACTGCAAGGTTGGTTTGAACTGCAATGTCAGAGGTTCAAGCTCACCAGCCACTCCTCGGAAACCCTATACAGGGTCGCTATGGGTTGAACCCAACTCGATAACACTTAACAACAGTCATTTTTCAGCCTCAGAAACCCTATACTAGGTCACTGTGAATCAGAACCAACTCAAAGACACTTAACATCAACAAGTCCTGTGTAGGAATTGGGAGGAAGCTGTCTTATAAATGGTCACCATCCTGTTGCCTAGACATTAAGGAAGGGATGTGGTCCCAGCGAAGCTGCAGGGACTGCAGAAGGCTGCATTTGGACTTCCTGTGTGTGTGTAGGGTCTTGTACAAGTATTTACCTGATTAGTATAATCCCTTAGCAGAATCTCCTCTACTACAGGTTGGCTACAGAGCAGAATTCCACATTCAATGAGTTCATCCTGGACCCCCACAAGGAATGTTAACAAAAGGACAATCCACATGGCCAATGTGGCACGGCAGGCTCAAAGATACTAATACCGTTTCTCCCCCTCTGCAACCACACATATAAATACCTTATAACAGCTCATATTTGCAGGACATTGTCCAGAGTCAGGGGAAAATTTGTGACATTTCAATGGAGATATCAACTGAGGTACCTAGAGTTAAACCCATGTCCTTGACTTGACTACCCAGTATGATAAGCAGCTGAACTAAGTAAGTGTCCATGGCAGTCAGAGTAACAATAACAATTCTAACAGAATCCTGTGCTTCTAGACATTGTTACGTCACCCAAAGAGTTCTAGCCCAGTAACAAGATTGTTGTCCTGGGATTGACTAGTATAATTCAGTAGGTTTAAATAAAACATCCTGAATTATTTAAAAAAAATATTATTATCATAAGTTGGATAGTTGGTTACCTCAGGAAATACTCATACTCAGGTTTGCATGCCAAGATTTATTGGTGAGTGTTTGTGGGAACAACAGTTTTGAGGGAACAGAATTGGATAGAGGGAGAAATGAGGGCTCCAAGTCTTCATCCCTATCCCATCCCTATTAACCAGTCACAAACCAGCTAGCTGTAAGCCTTCAGCAGCCAGCACTCCTAGCAGCTGGGGAACCAGTGTCTTGATCCTTGATGAGGCATTTTTATGGTGTTCCATGCTGTCTGCTGCAATTGCTAGCTGTTATTTTTACTTCACAAGTATTTCCACATTGATTATTCCATTTCTCCTACCCAATAGCCTGTGAGGTAGTCAAAACTAGTAGGGAATCACTCTTCTCTATTAATACATGGGAATACCAAAGACTTGTCCAGAAGCACATAAGATTTGTCTCTGATTCCCACCCAGTGATTTCTACTCAACAGATTGTAGTAATTTTTTTTTTTTTTCTTTTCTGTATCTTGAGTTTATTGAAGTGTGGAATGTAGGAATTAGAAAACATAGTGAAGGCCAAATAGTTAATCCACCTCACTTAAGAAGTAAGAAAACAGGCTCAGAGGAGGGGGCATGGTTTGATCAAAATCAAACTGCAAGTTTGTGGAGTAACCTAGCCTCATGGTCAGGTTTCCTGCACTCAAGAACCAATTTTTATAACCTGGAGTTATAAATATAAGTAGGTTACAGGCCCAGCCTTAGGTGATTATAGAATCCGGTAGATTTTGCCAGTCTCACTTTAATAATTTTAATGAGACAGAGGAAGAGTGAAACTTTTTATTCTAGGCTTTCTCATATCACTTTGCAAAGACTAAATCCAAAAGAAAATGGCCTATTGTTCCTTTAGAATGGGTAATCTCAGAGAGCAGGAATGGGATTCTCCATGTCTTCTAAACTGCTGGTCAGTAGATACTCATAAAGTTAAAAAAAAACAACAACAACAACAAAAAAAAACTCTGCAAACATTCATAGAGGACTCATTGATTGTTTCTACCCATCTAAGATTCATTTTAAAACCAGTATCATGAGATGCCTGTTTCTAAGAAAACCGATACTGTCTGTCTTTTTCTCTTTAAATGACTGTAGCATTGACATGAATTTTTACTCTTTTTCTAGAGCACAAAGATAATAATTGTATGGTATAAAGTGGGTGGGTTTTCTGGTTTTGGTGTCACACTTGCCCAGTGATCTTCCCTAAGGGCCAAAGTGACGCACATCTACCCTAGTTCAGGCAGAGAACAGCTGTCTTCATATAATTCAACTCTTTCTTACCACTGGAATTTCCTAGTCCAGTGCTTTGTGCCTTCCATGTTCTGTCTCTCCAAATGTGAAACTTCTTTGCTGGTGATGAGTAGTCATGATTTGTATTCTCTTTTCTTTCTTCTCTATTGGGGTATTTAGTCAGTCACCTCAACCCTATTTAATAATCCAAGTAAACTGAGGCAGACCTGACAAAAAGTTCTATCTCCCGGTTTCTCAGAGAGCTCTCCATGGGGACAGAACCTTGTGACCATTCCTGGCCTAAGATAAGTTTCCTGGCCAAAGCTGCTAGAACACCAAGTAAAGAAGTGTGCATGAGAGCAGAAATCTTAAAGGAAGTTAGACTGCAGGCCAGAAAATAATTTTAATGAAAAGTAGACAAAAACAATCCACCTCATCGTTTTCCTCACTCTTGTTCTTTCCTATGATTCTGAGAAGATGGTGGAGCAGGCTGTGTTTCTAGAATGGCTGTCCATATGGGAGAGAATCTCTTGCATTGGTAGCTTGTTCTCACATCTGGAGGAATGCTAGTGTCCATTAGATCTGAGAGTAGATGTAAAACAGTAAAATAATTTATATGTAGTTCATTGTCCCTACCAATACCATTGCTTCCTCCTCACAGTCATAGGGCAGCTGCCTTATTCTAGGGGCTGGGGCCCCAAGGTTGTCTTTACAGAACCTGCAAAATAAACACAATGAGAAATAATGAACTTCTTAGAAGTGGCCAGATGGCCATGAGGGAAGGAGAACCTGAGTCTTTGAAAGTATCTCCTTACTGGCCCAGGGACTAGAACTTGAAGAAAGGAGAGGGGCAGGGGAAGGTGAACTTGTGGAAGAGAGGAAGAAAGAGGGAGAACCTACCTTCTCTGCTGAGGAGCATCTTTTGCTGTTATTTGTGTTGATATTCTTCATGGAGATGAGGGTGATGCTGTCTTTCTCACCATTGGCTGTGGAGCAGCTAGGGGTAGGGAGGGAGTCTGGGTTATAGAGAGAAGGAGGAGGAAAGGCAATGGGAGTCAAGGAATTGTGGGATTTGAGTTGTTGAGCCTTACACTTTTGTTTTAAAAATTCTATATTTTGGGCCATACTGAACTGAGTGCTTTGCAGTCTAAAAGACATGTATTCAAATCTTGGTTTTACTAATCACTGCTTGTATAATCTTACCAAGTTAAAGCCACTCTTACGAATTATTTTATTTATGTATAAAATGAAATAATATCTGCCTTTAAGAATTGCTATGAGAATTTGAGATAATATTTCAAAATTCCCTCTTAGAAGTGGAGAATGGGATATCAGATAGATGATTCCTCTCTCATACCTTTGACAGTCTTACCTTTCAGATATCCCTGAACTTCCTGGTTTCTGGGGATCTGTAAAAACCCAAGGAACAGATCAAGAGTCATATGCTGTAATTCAGACACCCAACCTACCCCTCAAAGCCCACCCAAGTAACCTTTCACTATTCAGGACTTCTAAATTCTATTAGATTCACATGCCAATCCTGCTCTCAATTCCAGTCTGAATTTTAGTCATGGAATTTAGCTCTGAATTTCCCCACCAAAGAGAGACAAATAGGGAAGCTGAGGTCAGGGCATTACCTTCAGATTCCTTGTTTTTCCGACACTTAAATCTTAGACTGACCACACTGACCAAGATGATCACCACAACCACCAGGATGACAATGAAGCTGATAACACCTGGGCAGGAAAGAGAATGGGAACAAGAGTCCAGAATCCCCTTTGCTAAGTGCTGTATAGACAGGCTCCAGAAGCAAAGTAAATTCCATTTCTTTGTTGAACAACAAACTGTCAGCCTGCTGCCTCTAGCTAGAGTGGGGTATCCTCCCATAGGAACTTGAAATCCATCAAAGCCAAGAAGAGTTGGCTGGAGGACCAGGGGAGGTTTCCTCCCACCAAGCCACTCCTTCAGTCAAGCCCTCCTGTATTTCTATACCCAGAATCCTAGTCAACTCCAGGGCAATCCCCTCCCATGCTTTACCTTGTCCACCAGACTTACCAAATGCAGCTACAGTGAGCACTGACTCTGATGTTGGGCTAGGCAGGATGGTCAAATATTCCTCTGTCCTCGTGTTCACGGTGGTGGTTTTGGTGGTGATATTTTGGGATGTGTCTAAGATGGAGTGGGGGATAGGTACATCAGTGATGGAGACTGACGTGGTCTACCACAGAAAGTTAACTTCTTTCCCCTACCCCAAGCTGAAAGATTGCAGGAGGAGCTCACATCCTATATATAAAAAAAGACTTCTTCCCTTCCACTTCAACCAGATCCCAAGAGAATGGAGGTCAAGCCATGATGATATGTGGTCATGTAAATGGTCTTGCTGATCATTCCAGAGGACTTCAGGAGATTCAGGATCCCTCTCTCGTTATGCTCTTCCCACCGCCCTATGAGGCTTAGACAGAAGGAATTTGTGTCCTAGAGATAGGGACTCAGGCTGAGAAAGGTAGAGTCATCTGTGCTTTGTCAAGGGTTTATGTGGGTGGAAAGAAGGACACAGGAAATTTGTCCCCAGGTGCTGATCTAATAAGCCAGGCTACCAGTTAAGTGACATAAGTTTCTGACCTTTTGAAAAGTGATATGGCCATCCCTCTCATCCCCTCAACTCATTTCTCCATTTTTCTTATCTCTCTGCACCCCATTGCCTAGTAGGTCTGGGAATAAAAAATTCCCGGAGTCAAGAAGTGAGACGAGGGAAAGGAGGAAGAAGCAATCTCTGGATCCTCTGCATTGGGAAGGACATACCTCCACTTGGGCTGCCGCTGCTCCTGCTGCTACGTGGGGCCCCTGTGCCTGTAATGTGAAAACATGGTCAGGGTAGAGGATGTCCTCCCCATCGCCAGCTCTTCGCCCATGTTGATTAGCGAGGACCAGCTGTCACTGAGAGGGAGGTAGGCAGCTTTTTCCCAACATTTTCTACCTTTCCCTATTGTTTTGAGTTCTCTCAGTCCTCTCTTGTCCCCTCTACTCCTTTATCAACCCAATTCCAGGCTCCTTTTACCTTTGTTGTGACTAGGCCCAAGTTCTTTTCTCTACTCCTGCACCAAACCTCTCTCAGTCTCTCCCAAACCAGGGTTCACTGATATGGATCCTGACCTCAAGACCCCTGGCTCTGGGGCTGAACTTGGGCCTCTTAAAGTGGAGAAGAAAAAACCCACCCAGGCATACTACAGTATCCTTAACCCCTGCACTCTTCCCCAGCCCTAGCTCTGGGTGCTCACCAAGTCTTAATGTGTGCTTCTGTGACTGGGACTGAGGCAGGCTCAGTGAGGATGAGGAATGATCATCCACAGTGCTTGACCTTGGCATGGTGGGTTCACTTGTTACCATGGGGACCTGTGAAACCTTCATTGGAGGTGCTGTGGATCAGGAAGCATGGCAAGGACCTGCTTAGGCCCTCAGTCGGAATATATACAGAGAGAGTTAGTCCCAAATCCTGCCTTCTGTTCCAGGAGAAAGGCCATTCTCTGTCACCCCTGGGCCTTCACTGTGTGAATAACCTCTGCCATCTCATCACTTTCACCCTACAATCTCTATCAGTCTAATTCCTTCTCAAGTCTTAGCTTCAAAGTTTACTCACTCTGAAATGTCTTCCTTGGCCCCCAAATTTGAAGTGGTTGATATTTTTCTGATCTCTCACAATACCTCCTGCATATGCCCATCACAACGCTTCTCACCCCATTTTGTAATTGTCCATCTGAGGTGCTATGTACTCATCTGTTACCCCACTAGGTTGTATTCTTCTTTAGAGCAGAAACTCCCACGTTAACCCTCCCTGGAGGGAATTTGTAGCCTGAATGGCCGAGTTCCTGGGATACCAGTGTTGGAGAAAGGACTTGGGCTGTTAGGCTCTGAGGGAGGGATGATAGCTCCTGCAAGGACAGAGTCAGATATGGAATTGGAGGTGAGCCAAGCTTGGTGACACCGCACCCTATCAGCCATACCAGAACCCTTGGGATCTAAGCAGGATTAAATAGTTGTCAACATGGGGCACAGTGTTGGTTCCTCATCAAACACACTCACTCACCTGTATTGGAAGTTGACTTTATGGTCAGACTTAGCTTACTGAAGGTCCCTGAAACACATCACCATAAGCTGAGGGATCTGTTGTCACCTATTGTTATCTCCCTCTCTTCTTCCCTCTATCTGGTATTTTCTAGACTTTCTCCCTGCTCCAGCAACAACCATTCATTTCTTTCATTTTAAAAGGCATGTTAGAATAGACCAGGCAAGAAAAAAAATCCCTAGATGAGCTCAGTTTTGGATGTGTTAAAAGTTCAGGCCTCAGCTCCCATCACCTCAGGTCAGTGTAAAACTGACCTAGAAGTCTTCCCACCCTTCCTTCATTGTCTGCAGCAAGCTCTGTGTATTTGGTCTTACCCTGAGGGTTAGCAGTCTGAGTTGTCATGGGCTGGGAGTTGTGGCCTGCAAGAGAAAACAAAACACATGGATTAGTTTAGTAAGTCTCCTGCCCATAGTGGAACTCAGCCCTTTTGGTTCTCTTAAGTTTTCCATGCTGGAAGCACAGAGGACTAAGGATATGGGCCTAGTGTATGATGCTGTCTTGCTCTGGGACTGTGATTCATTAGCTTAGCATCCCAAAGTTCTTCCCCATATCTTCAATCCCATGTAGGTTTTATACCAACCTGACACAAGGTCAGGAAAGACTTTTTTGTTTTGTTTTTTAATTTTCTTAAATTAGTAACAAAAACAGAAGACCTGCCTAAACAAGAACTTAGGACTCCAAGTGCCTATGCTAATGTTCTCACCACTCTGTTTTTTGGTATTTCATTTTTTCTGTTAAGATTGTCATCCTGGACCCATCCCAAAGAAAGAGGACGGAGAAAAGTGGTGAATAAGATAAGGTTAGGAATTAGGGTTTCTATCGGGCTATCTCTCTGCCTGCCCCCCAGCTAGAGGGAGAGTCCTGCAGAGGAAGCAAGTTCTGAGGCATACAAAGAGACAGAGCTCAAGAACAAGCAACTGATTTGTTCTCACAGGAAGTTTACTCTTGCAGTCACAGCCTACTTCAGAAATGGTCATTGTTGGTCAAACCCAGAGAAGAGTCATTTACCAGAAGTCCCCAATCAGAAGTTCTTAGTTGCTTTTTGCATGTATATGTGTATGTCTGTGAGCCTCTCTGCAGATATGTATGTGTGTACGCATGTGCGCACAAACACCCATGTATGTGTCCTGCTGTGTGTGTGTGGGACCTGAAAGGTCAGGTTGTGTTTGCTCAGTTTCCACAATGAAATCATTCTTGAAACGTGTGAACAATGTGAAAGGAAAACATCATGGGGAAGTGGAGCCGCCCAGCTGGGTTCCCGTCCCTCAGCTCTGTCTGGGCCTGAAGCCCCTTGCTTGGTCCTCCTACTCCCTGGGCCCCTCATCATTAGGGAAACACTAAACCCAGGCCTGGGTAGATGGAGGCGGCTGGGTGCCAGGGTCCCGCCCCAGCCTGTGGCAGCCTGCTGGTCTGTTTATTTTCCTTAATCCACTGCCTTCCTCCATGGGGCTATCGTTTGGATAATGTGGAATTAATTTTGTCCAAGCCTAAGCTTTCCCAAATCCTGGACCATACTTTTCCAAGTAACTATCTTTGATAGCCCCATTGGGTTGGAGATAGAGAGAGAGAGTTAAAACTTGTGGGAACTCCATGCTATAGAGAATCCTTCCCACCTGGGATGGAGACAGATGGAATGATCCTGGGCAAGCCCTTTCAACCCTAGGCTTGTCCTGAAAATATCTATCAGATACTAATCAAGCGTATCTAAGGAACCATCTAAGCTCTATAAGGTTGTAACTTTATAGTTTAGCAGTGGGCACAGTGTACTCTTTTGTGCATTTACCTAGAAGGAAAACAAAAATCCTCACCACTGGACCAATAAATGGAGAAAAGATTGAAGTTGTCAAAGACTTCATTTTATTTGGATCCACTGTTACCACTCATGGAAGCAGCAGTCAAGAAATTAAGTGACCTATTACATTAGGCAAATCTGTTGCACAAGACCTCTTCAAAGTGTTGAAAAGCAAAGATATCAGTTTGAGGACTAAGGTGTGCCTGACCCAACCCCTGGTATTTTCAATAACCTCATATGCATATGAAAGTTGGATAAGGAAGACTGTAGGGGAATTGATGCATTTGAGTTATGGTGTTGGAGAAGACAATGCAAAGTACTGTGGACTGCTAAAAGAAGAAACAAATCTGTTGAAAGTACAGACAGAATGCTCCCTAAAAGCCAGAATGAGGAGACTTCACTTCTCATCCTTTAGACATATTATCAGGAGGAACCAAGTCCCTGGAGAAGGACATCATGCTTGGTAGAGTGGAGGGTCAGCAAAAAAGAGGAAGACCTCTAACAAGCTGGATTGGCACCATGGCAGCAACAATGGGTTCAAGCTTAACAACAGTTGTGAGAATGGCGCAGGACCAGGCAGTGTTTCATTCTGTTGTGCATACAGTCATTATGAGTTAGAACCGACTTGATGGCACCTGACAACAACAAGCTATTCCGCACAGTTCCTCCCCAGCCTAGACCCCAGCTCGAGGTCCAATCTGTGACTCTATCCTTGGGCTTTTTGAGCTCTAGAGGCCGAATGTTCTAATATTCAGGCTCGCTTTCCCCACACCCAAGAAAGGGCTAGCTTGATAGTTTTCCCATCACTCTCCTCCCTATCCAAAGCACTTTTGCTTCTCTTTGTTGTTTCTAGCACAGGCTTATTAATCTTCCACTGAGAACTAGTGGAGGTTGAGGTGGGAAGGGATGACCAAAGGGAAGTTGCTGCCCTGTGAGTCATAATCTCCTGGACTTTTCATGGTTCCCAGCAACTGCTCCCTAGTTGTGGTTGTTGTTAAGTGCTGTTGAGTCAGTTCCAACTCATAGCACCCCTGTATAGGGTTTCTGAGGAGCAACTGGTGGGTTTAAACTGCTGGCCTTGTGATAAGCAGTCCAGCTTATCCTATAGCGCCATACCAGAGGATTCCTTATGCTCTGGTTTACAAGCCTTCAGCTGGCAAACCTATGTCTGAAAGGTTGTATCCTAGTAATCTCCTCTAGAGGCCATCTCATCTAGCCCCTTGGCTAAGACTATTGTAGACATCCTCCTTGGCAAATAGTTCTTTGTGTCTAACTCAGGTCCCCCTGGCTGTGATTGGAGCACACAGTTAACATTTGAAACTCCCAAGTTATTACTCCTTATATGAAAATTTAAAAACGATTACCTGTGAAGTCTGAGGTGCAGACAATTTTTCACTAGAACTGTTCACAGGGTAGCACAGCACCCAAATCAAAGGGTGAGGCTTGATGGGATAGTCTGCTTCTCGGGCCTTCCCTCACGTTGGAAGGAATGTTCCAGCCTTAGTCTCTGACCAAGGCAACCACCTTCACACTTCATGAGACCAGCCTCAACCAAAGCCCCAGTTCTCCCTGGAAATTTTCCCACAAAAAGATTGAACCATATCTCTGTTTTACAACACTGCCCGATCATGATCACTCCCCAATCCAACTGATCCTCTCTGTGGAAAGTCCCAGGAATTCCCTTAAGGACAGCCCAGATGGAGAGTGTGTGGCATGTGTGCTAAGGGACGGACTGGTGCCCAAGACTGCCAGCCTCTGGAGAGTAATTGCTGAAGAAAGGTGGCAGGATCTCTTACCTTGGAGTAGAAGGAAGCCCAGAATTGTCCAGCACAACTGTGTTGTTCCAACAGTCCCCATGTCAGCTCTGTTAGCTCGGTATGTGGTGGGCAGACAGCTGCTCTCCGCAGAGGCTCTGTCCATAGTGGAGAAGAGAGAGGGAGTGCTGGGACAGGGAGGGGCATGGGGGCTGACTCTCCAGGAGCTTCCTGTCAAAGAATAGAAGGAAACAGATTGGGACTGGCTCCAGGGGCCTTGTTCAGTTTGGCAATCCTGATGAGGATGTGAGGTTGCAGCAGCAGCGAATCACTCAGGACCCTACATGGTCTGGGCCAGGCAGGCCCACTATGATCTCTCCCAGGACCTGTGCACAGAACTGGTGATGGCAATCTGGTCCCCATCTACCCTCTCCTTCCCTCCCCTCCAAGGAATCTGTCAAGTCCATCCACATTCCACCTGGAGACTTTCCAGCAGTCTAACTCCAACCCCATACTGCTTCAGGCTTGATCCTCTTCTCACATGAATGAGCCCAAAGAGCCCACCAGCCGCCCATGCTCTGTAGACTGAATTCTTCACATTCCACTCCCTTCTCAGAGCTCCAGATGCAGATGGGATGCCCAACATCTTTTAGGGAACATTACTGCTATTCTTAATGGAAAAAGAAGAGAACCACATTCCAAGCATCTCTCTCTAAAGGGAGCCCCGCTCCCCCCATTAGGTTTAGGTGTTCTCTGGCAGTAATCTGTTCTCAGCTTATATGATGGTTAATGTTTTGTGTCAATTTAATTAGGTTATGATTCTCAGTGATTTGGCACATTGGCCTGATTTTATTTCCATAATATAAGGTAATCACTTCTATGATGTGATCTGATGTGATCAGCCAATCAGTTGTAGAAGGAGTTTCCTGAGGGGTGTGGCCTGCATCCAGTACATATGAACATTCTACAAAGCTCATTTGCTTGCTCTCTTTCTGTCCTGCATATATGACTCATCATTATCAGACCTTCTGTTCTTGGGATATGAGTCAGAATTGGTCACCTGACCTGTTAATTTTAGGTTTGTCAGTTTCTGCAACCATGTAAGTCAGGAGAACCAACTCATAGCCACCCTGCATAGGGTCTCCAAGGAGTAGCTGACCTTGAGGTTCAAACCAACAGGCCATTATCCCACAGCACCACACCAGGACACATATATGTGTGTGTATGTCAAAACCTACTACATAGCACTTATTAATAATTATTTTATATGTATGTATGTATATCCACCACGTTTGTCAGTTTTTCGTACTGCGGTGGCTCCTTGGAGGCCAGGATGGCCAAACTTCATCTCTCATACTTTGGACATATTGTCAGCAGGGACCAGTCGCTGGAGAAAGATATCATGTTTGGTGGAGGTTCAGAGAAAAAGAGGAAGACCCCCAGCAAGATGGATTGGCAAAGTAGCAGCATCAATGGGCTCAAGCGTGGCAACAATTGTGAAGTTGGCCCAGGATCTGGCAGTGTTTCATTCTGCTGTGTATAAGGTCTCTATGAGTCCGTACCAACTCGATGGTACCTAACAACAACCACAACAAATGTGTGTGTGTGTGTGTATATATATGCAGGTTGGTTATGTGCCATGGAGTTGGTTCCGACTCATAGTGACCCTGTACAGGGTTTCCTGTAAATCTTTACGGGGGCAGAAAGCCTCTTCTTTCTCCTGTAGAACAGCTGGTAGTTTCGAACTGTTAACCTTAAGATTTGCAGCCCGATTCGTAGCCACTATGCTATATATATAGTTGTTGTTGTTGTTGTTGTTAAGTACCGTGGAGTCAGTTCTGACTCATAGTGACCCTGCGCAGGGTTTCCGAGGCTGTAAATCTTTATGGGAGCAGAACACCTCATCTTTCTCTCGCAGAACTGCTGGTAGTTTCGAACTGCCGACCTTGAGGTTAGCAGCCCAATTTGTAACCACTACACTACCAGAGCTCCACATATATATATATATTGTTAAGTGCCATGGAGTTAGTTCCAACTCATAGCCACCCTGTATAGGGTTTCTAAGGAGTGGCTGGCAAGTTTGAACCACATACCTTGTGGTTCAAACCGGCCTTGCAGTCCAGCACATTAACCAGCGCCACACTACTACTCATATATGCATATGATGGTGGTAGTGTGCCATTGAGTTATTTCTGAATCACAGTGACCCTGTATAGGGTTTTCTGAGTCTGTACATCTTTATGGGAGCAGAAAACCTCATCTTTCTCCTGCAGAGTGGTTGGTAGATTTGAACTGCTGACCTTGTGGTTAGCAACCCAGCTGCCATACACACACACACATATATACTCATCTATGTGTGTGTGTGTACAAATATCTATCTATCTATCTATCATCTATCTATCTATCTATCTATCTATCTATCTATCTATCTATCTATCTATCTATCTACTCCTAGTGTGGTGCTATTGGATAAGCACTGGACTGCAAACTACAAGGTCTGTGGTTCAAGCATACTAGCTGCTCCTTGGAAACACTAGACAGGGTCGATGTGTGTCAGAACCAACTCAAAGGCTCTTAGCATTCCAGTACTGATCCTACAGTGCCACACCAGGAGTCCAAATAGATATATTTGCTTGTTGGTAGTATGGTGGTTGTTGTGTGCCATGAAGTCGGTTCCAACTCAGCAACCTTTCAAAGCTGTAAATCTTTATGGAGCAGAAAGCCTCATCTTTGTCTCATGGAATGGCTGGCACTTTCAAACTTCTAAACTTGAGGTTAGCAGCCCCACTCATAACCACTATGCTACCAGAGTTGTGTATATATATATATTGTTGTTGTTAGGTGCCATCGAGTCGGCACCGAGTCATAGAGACCTTATGCACAGCAGAACGAAACAATGTCCGATCCTGGGCCAACCTCATTACTGTTGACACACTTGAGTCCATCGATGCTGCCACCTGACCAATCCATCTCATTGGGGGTCTTCCTCTTTTTCTCTGACCCTCCATCTTACCAAACATGATGTCCTTCTCCAGCGACTGTTCCCTCCTGAAAATGTGTCCAAAGCATGAGAGACAAAGTTTGGCCATCTTGGCCTCTAAGGATCACTCTGTCTGCACTTCTTCCAAAACAGATCTATTGGTTCTTTTCATGGTCATGGCACTTCTAGTATTCTCCTCCAACACCATAATTCAAAAGCATCAGTTCATCTACAGTCTTCCTTATTCACTGTCCAGCTTTCTCATGCATATGAAGTTATTAAAAATACCATGGCTTGGGTCAGGCGCACCTTAGTCCTCAAGCTGACATCTTTGCTCTTGAACACTTCAAAAAGGTCTTGTGCAGCATATTTGCCTAATGCAATACATTGTTTGATTTCTTGGCTGCTGCTTACATGAGTGTTGATGATTGATCCACGAAAAATGTCTTTGACAACTTCAATCTTTTCTCCATTGATAAGAATGTTGCTTATTGGTCCAGTGATGAGGATTTTTGTTTTCTTTACATTGAGATGCAATCCATACTGAAGGCTGTGCTCTTCATCAGTAAGTATTTTAAGTCCTCTTCATTTTCAGCAAGCAAGATTGTATCATCTGCATATTGCAGGTTGTTAATAAGTCTTCTTCCAATCCTGATGCCACATTTTTCTTCATAGAACCCAGCTTCTCATATTATTTGCTCAGCATACAGGTTGAATAAGTATGGTGAAAGAAGACAACCTTGTCGCACACCTTTCCTAATTTTAAGCCATTCAGTGTTCCTATGTTCTGTTCAAACAACTGCCTCTTGGTCTATGAACAGATTCCTCATAAGCACTTATTAATAATTATTTTATTATTCTGGAATACTCATACTTTGCAATGGTGTCCATAGCTTGTAATGATCTACACAATTGAAAGCCTTTGTGTAGTTAATAAAGCACAGGTAAACATCTTTCTGATATTCTCTGCTTTCAGCCAAGATCCATCAGATATCAGCAATGATATCACTCGTTCCATGGCCTCTTCTGAATCCGTCTTGAACCTCGGGAAGTTCTCTGTCAATGTATGATTATAGCCGTTTCTGTATTACCTGTAGCAAAACTTTACTCGCTTGAGATATCAAGAGATGGTCCGATGATTTCTACATTCTGTTGGGTCACATCTCTTTGGAATGGGCATAAATATGGATCTCTTCCAATAAGTCGGCCAGACAGTTGTCTTCCAAATTTCTTGGCAGAGATGAGTGAATGCCTCCTGTGC